ACTACCATTGATTCTGATACACTTTGAAACACAGTTTGAGAAACACAAAAATGTTGAACAGGTTTCAATACTGTCATTTAACTAAATGTGGGCCAGTGCTTCCCCACCAGCATGCCGGTAAATATTAGTTCATCACAAAGATTTTACTGGAGTGAATTGCCACAGGGATTACACTTGCGTATGGTTCTGTCCACTTGCCCAATCACCTTTCTTTGGACCATAGACTTGTTTGGGAACCAAAGCTTTGTTTTTGGACGAAGAGGTCTGTGTTTCCTAATTTGAGCCCATATGATAATTGATGTGTTGTTAGTCCTGGGATCCTTGTATTTGTTCTTATCTCCCTTTCTATATCATCTTTATTATTATTTATATATGTATGCAGGTATATATGCATGCATCCACCCTCAAATTCATCCATCCATTGATCCATTCGTCCATCCAATTTCCTTACAAACATGAAGATTTTAACTTGACTATATTTAGAACAGTCCTCCAGCCCAATTGCCATGCACATCCTGAGTTTTTAATAGGTATGATCTACCATTTGTGCCATAGAAAATTTAAAAAATTTACCAATGAACCTTGGAAAGAGCAAATTTTGGATGTCTAACTCAGTACAAACAGCAAAACATAGGGAGCTTTAAAACTCAAACCATTATAACACATTTCAGAATCATTGTTATTATAAGTTAAAAATTATTGCTTTAAAAAAAAATTATTGCTTTAATACCTTAATGATTGCAGGAAGTTCTGGAGCTTTTAGGTAGTACATATGAAATTAAGCAAGCAAGCAGTAATGTATCTTCTGAGATAATTTCTAGCATTAAATACTGACACTTTTTAATGAACTTTCAATGTGTGCCACAAGTTTGTATTTCCAAGGGCCAAGTCTTTCTTTTTGCCACCTTTTCTACATTCTCATTGTTTCTTGGGATCTACATTGATGGTGCAACAGAGAAACATGACTCCCCTTTCAGAGTTGTTATGAAAGATTTCCATGACTTTTTTTAAAATCCTTTTTGTATCTAATCATCACCTTTACAAATTTCTGTGAGGGCTCTCTCTTTAGAGAGAATGTATTAACTAGTATCTGACACAGACATGTTTTCCATTTTTTCAACTGTAAAATTCATTTTTTTTTGCATTCAAAATGTGTATTCAATTGATCTGAAACTCCTCTCTGTTTAAATTATGAATTCTTAATACTGACTTATGTTATTTAATATAACGTTTTTAATTATTCACTGAGGAATTTTTTTAGGGACAGATTCCATATTGTTTTATGTATTGAGTAACATTTGAAATTTTATCTAACAACTTGAACAATAGATAACCTTTGCATATATAGCAAGATAAACTGCTTTACCAGACAAGGTTAGCAATACTCTACAAACGTATGTTCCAAGATCAATTAAAACATAATTGTCACGACCCCAAGTTCTCAGCCCCAGATTCCAGTGAAAATTTCAAGCAAGCAATTACTTCAATCAGAAACTCAGCTTAAATGATATTTATGATGAAAATTGCTGCTGAGGGGAGGTTGTAGTCCTGTTTACCAGTTTATGTATTACCTTAAAATGTACTCAGGAGATATTTTTGTCCTTGACCATTACAATAAATTTTATACATGCAGCTCTCACAATCTAAAGATAATACAAACAGTACTCAGTAGTCTGAGAAAATTATTCTGCCTAAAGTAAAACTGTTTTTCATTTTGGAGACTAAAATAAGAGACATACCTAGTTTATACTTTTTCATCCTTTCACGGTTTGTTTCACTTATATCAAAATATAATAGAAGTTTCAGAAAAACGTATCTTCCTACATACTTTTACTCTTTAACTGAGAGGGTTCAGACTATTGCAATATGTCTCCATGAAACAAGTAGATAATTTCATTGCCTATGTTACACTTCAGAAGTATTGGGCAGTTTCTCTTAGCAATATCTCTTGCTATGCTTGGAGTATGATTTCATACCACAAAATTTATCCCACATTAGCAATATATATTTCTAGATATATTCCCTAGTCTTTGCTATTCATATGCTTCAGCACATTTATACATTATGAAACCACAATTCCAAACAGACCCTATGGCTTTGTCGTTGGTTTAATTCGCATCTTTATGAAATTTACATTTTTTAAAAGAATATCTTTAGCTAAATACATTCACTCACACCTAAACAGTAGACAAGTTTCCCACCATGTACAACTTACCATGCAAGTCCTGAAGCTTTGTCTCACCGAATTGTACAATATCAAACACATGCACATCTAATAGCTACAAATAAATTTCTGAGCTGATGTTTAGACAGACTATATAATCCAGAAATACCTCATGTATTTTTGAATACTCAGCAAGGATGGGATTGAGATTCAGTGAGGGAGGTAAGAGAGTGGACGGAAGTAGATTAGCACCAATAATTATTTAAGCAAATTCACTTACAAATGAAATACTCCTGAGGCTTAGTGTCACTGTAGTAGTCAAATCAGTGATAAAAATAACCATACAAATTGAATACAAACGGTTTGTGATGTTTTACCTTCAATTAAGTATCAAAATAGGCAGAATTTTAATGCCTTTACAGTATTTACACTTCTAACATTTAAATTACTATTTATTTCTGTACATCCTTTCTTTTTAATTCTTCTTGACTTAATTTGCAACTCCCCTATTTTTTAAATTCATCAATAAAATAGGAAACAAATTATTCATCCTGACTTGCTTTGCTCTGTAACAATCTTTAATGTAATAAAACTGCCCTTTGAGACAAAAAGACTAAAGTAGGTTCTTCTTTCTTTATTTATAAATATTAATATATGATAGATTTTTGTGCAATAAGACCATTTACTGATATACTCTGGGCTTCCTGAGACACTGAAAAAGAAATATTTGTAAATTCCTCTCTGTATTTGTTTTAGTCAGGGATTTAGTCTGCTCAATATCCTCAGAGAGAGGTGACTTAAAAAAAGTTGGCTGTCATTCTGTGTAAATTCGCTTACATTACTTTTTAAAATACTGATTTGTAAAGTTCTTGATTTTTCAAAAGCATAATTTATCCTTTTAGAAGTTTCAATTCAATCACGAAAGGATGTAAAATTATTTAGTTTACATAATAGAAGACTTATTTTTTCATGCCAACATCTTGTGTTTCACTTACATTAGCTCTAAAACAGAGCCAGTCATGCCATACAATATCAGCACTCATCCCTTATCAGCACTCATCCTTATCTCCCTTAAGCACTAAATAATTTTTAAAAATAAATAAACTGTGAAGTTCCCAAATTTTGATGAGAAATTTATTGAGTAAACCGATCTTTTTTTCTACCAAATGGGAGATATTTTGAAGTTGACTGCGACTTTTGAGGGTGAAAGTATTTGGAGTTAGTTTTTTAAAGTTTTATAAGAATGATATCTTCAGTATTGGTACTTTGAATTCATCAGGGCTTTATTTTCTCATCTTTCCAATGGTAGCTAGATGATTTTTAAATACTTACTGTGATTCCCTGGAACCAAGAGGGATACATTAACTCTGATGAGGCTGCAAGGAATCATTTGTTAAGTTACATTTCATGGGCAGTAAATAAAACCCTAAAATGTGTAAGAATTAATTCACTTTAAATGAGCATGCTCTTGTATCTCAAGGATTATTGTGGTCATACTGTTGGATTCAGGAGCACGACTTTGTGAAATAGCATTGGACTCGATGGAGCACCCCATTAACTTATAAAAAGTGTTGCTCTACAAATAGACTGTTTGATTTAAGTTATGCCAATTATTAGAAGCTTTGTCTGTTCAAGACAGGCTCATCAATCAAGTATGAAACACAAAAACAATGAAAAAACGATCATGAGAGGAAGGAAAGCATTGAGAAACCTTAACACTGTAAGCACTAGTCTATGTAACCAATAACACTATGTATAAGCACCAGTCTATGTAACCAATCATTTCTCAATTATTTCTTCATAAGATGGGCTTTAATACAAATGGCTTATTCTGTAATAACTCATTTCTTTGATCAAATATTGAGGGAATTGAAAAGCAAACAAATGGAGGGGTATAATTCAGCTTATGAATTCATTCATTCCACAAATATTTGTGGAATGCCTCCTATATTCCAGCTATTGTCATAAGTGCTGAAAAAACTTGTTTTATCTGTCTGCAGTCATATATTGATACATTTCTAATTATTCCCTTAAATTAGGCCACTTATTTATAGGGAAGAGGGTATTCACTCCATTCCTCTCTCCCCTTAAAAAAATATTGTAACTTTTTCCCACTGGGCTAAAGATATCACTTACATGTGTAATATTTTCTTTTTCTCCTTCACCATTATTACTAGATAGGCAGCAGTATGTGCCAACTTCTTGTACAAAAAAGCCTCCTCAAAATAACCTTGACTGTGATGGCTTGCAATTACAAACCAATATTTTTAGTTTTCTTCTCCTTGGGTACATTTAAAGTTTATACAAGTGACTGTTTTGAAAAGCCAAACAGAACAAAACAAAATTTGTACTAAATGGTGCATTCTTAACCTAACTATTTAATTTGTACTAATTATCTTGTGATAAAAGAAATGATGAGCAAAAGTACAGGATTGAAAAACTACCCTGGTGTTTACATTCAAATAGAGAATATCTTGCCTTTATATTTTCATTTTGATTTTCACCAACGGAATTTACAGTGTTTTTTTCAACAGTTTATCAAAGCACTAAACATATATATTTTATCTGTTCTTAGGCATATTTTAATTTCTTCTTTTCTTTACACTGGCTAGCTTTTCAAAAATAGTAATAGTTTAAATCCATTGTTCCAAAAATATACTAAATGCTTTTATTTGATAATTTCTACATTATAGATACCTGTCTAGATTTATATTGAATCAAAGCATTTGTAAAGGCTGCAGGCTAACACTGATACTTCAGGTTTATAAATTTAACTGAAGACTGGTAATGGGTAAAAACAAATCGAGAGTATATATGATAAATAATTACCAACATAAACATTTTAAATTTTATTTGTAGTTTCAGAGTTTTGATATACGTTAATAATCACAATGGTGTAAAGCAATTTGGCTCAGAAAAATGAAAAATAAGATTTGTTTTTAGTTTTCCATTTGTCAATCTAAATGCAGAGTATATCTTGAAAGTATTCCAAAATTTTGATACATATATCAATATGATGTGCACATATTTTTTTCATCAGATTTAAGCTTTTGCAAATTATATAAATTTTTTTGCAGTCATGAATTAATAACGGTTTTAAGCAAGTGATGTTCATCATGGCATTGTTTACGCATGTAAATATGTGAAAAATCACACAAATTAGATTCAGTAGCAAACTGTTTAGATAAATTATAATATGTTAACACAAGGGAATACTATGCAGTCACTAAGATGATGATAGAGATGGATATTTATTGTCATGAAAAGATGATTATGGTTCAGTTTTAAATTAAAAATACAGAACAGTAAATATAGTATGGATTTTTGGTCAAAATGTTTGTGTATACATAGGAAAAAATACAAAAAGATATTTACACATTGAAAACGTTCATTGTGGTTATTTCTGAACTGTGGAAATTTTACTTCCTTCTGCACTGTGTACATTTTTTACAATGAGCATGTGTTACGTTTATAATCAATAAAAACAGTGATTTCCATTTTGAAAATATTTGAAAACGAATAAACCTGTAATTTGTAGATAAACAAATACATAGAAACAGCTTATTGTCATTATTTTATGGTCAAAGAGCTAACAAAAGTGTTAACAAAATTATTTATTTACATTGTACTATGTATGAAAATGAAGATTTGTATATAAGGTAATAAAACTGACAGTAGAGGCAAAAACATATTCTAATGGTCAAATCTGTGGCATAAGTGAATCATATTATAAAAAAGTAATTATTAAATTTTACATAAATTAGGTATTTTCTTCTTCCTAAAAGGACTTGAACAGGTATATATTTTTAAAAAGGTAATACAAAAAATAGAAAAATAAGTGTAATATGAATGGAAGGCCGGCAATGAGGAGAACAGGAAACCACAAGTGAAATGTAGAGAATCTCTAATTTAGAAATTACAGGCTAATTAATGTAACTGCAATATTGAACAAAACCTTTTTTTTTTTTTTTTGAATTTTCAAGCAGCCAAGACATAAAGAAAACCATATTGGTTTCACAGTTCTCATATAATAGCTGGAGGCATATGACTTAATCCAAGAGACAACCTATTCCTTACCTTTGAAACATCTGTGAACATTATCAAAAGGATACACTCAATAATTTACAAGAGATAACAAGTTTAATAGAAGGTGTTCTTCCAAGAAGTTTTTCAACATCATTCTGTGGATTATTTGCCTTTTATATTGACAGTTGATAAAAGCTGAAGGTAAAAGATTAAATTATTTATAGGTAAAGGCAATTCAGTGCAGTTATTCATTTTTCTTGTTAATTTAACATGATCCAAGTACATGTACTAAGGAATTTAGAAAAATGGATGGTAGGAGTGGTACTGAAAGTATCCTCAAATACCAAATCTTTAGGAAAGGTTTTTAAGATGCAATTCTTACTTTAAATAGCCACTGCCTTAAGTGTTAATTTTCTAAGTGACTAATTGAGAAAACACCAATATGCTTACTTATTTGGGCAAGAAGTTAATACAACCACTCCCAACAATTAGTCAAAAGTATTATCAAGTCTGTAGTATGTTCACAACATATTAAAAAATGAAACAAGAATACAAATAAATAAAGAAAATAAAATAAATTTCACGTTAAAAAAATTCATTTTGCATAAAAATTTTAAGTGAAATTATGCAGATGTTAATTGGATCACATATGATTTTCCCTGCTGTACTGACTTCTCAAAAAGCAAGTTAGAACTTTTCACTGTGATAGATTCAGAAGAACCATGTTGACAATATTTTCATGAAAAATAATAGAGTATTATTGAAATAAGAAGCGAAATATACTCAATCAATTGCCTCACCTTGACTGTTCAGGAAAAAAAAAAGTGGAGGAATACACTTTATTCTACATATTTCTAAGGATATTACATCAAAAAAATACAAAACGACAATTTTACAATTAGAAATTATGTTCCATTCTAAATTGAACAGTTTTCTAGTTTTGCATTTTTTTTTCAAAAGAAAGAATTCACTTTAAAAAAAAAAAGAAACTTGTGAATTAGCATAAAATAACCCCTTATCACAAAGGAGCCCAAACTAAGGAGGCACCAACTAAGGCTGAAACGAACTGAGCATTCTTATTCTCAGCACCTGCGCCTGGCCTGGCCCAGGGTGACGTGCAGGGGCTTGGAGCCCACTACGCGGCCATTCATCTCATCCACTGCTTTGGTAGCCTCTTCAAAAGAGGAAAAGCAGACCACACCAAATCCTTTGCCTTGCCCCACTTCCATCATCACTTTGGCCCGACTAATTGATCCAAAGGAAGAAAATTCCTCCTTCAGTTTTTCATCATTGATTGTCTCATCCAAGTTCTTAATATAGATAGGCACCCCTGGGGGCCGACTTTTTTCTTTTAACCTCAGCCGTTCAAATCTCCGCCTCAACTCAGCCAGGCGTTCAATTTTCTTCTGTGCTCGCCCTACATAGAGGACTTTTCCATCGATGGACTTTCCATGCAAGTCTAGCACAGCCTTTTGGGCAGCCTCGTGTGTCTCATATCTCACAAATCCAAAGCCTTTAGATTTCCCACTGGCATCTCTTATTACTTTAACACTCTCAGTTGGCCCATATTCACAGAAAAGTTCCTTCAGTTTTTCGTCATCTATGTCGTCTCCAATGTTTTTAACGAAAACATTGGTGAAAGTTGCTCTATCCCTGGTTCTGACCTCAGCCGCCCGCTCTTCTGGGAATTTGAATCTGCCAACATACACCTGGCGGTTGTTGAGCCGCACTCCATTCATGTGCCAGATGGCTCTATTGGCAGCGGCCAGGCTGTCAAAGTGCACATAGGCATAACCCTTAGAGCCGTTGTCATCACATACGACTTTGCAGGACAGAATGTTCCCAAAAGCAGAAAATAAGTAAAACAGGGCCCTATTGTCTATGGATTTGTCCAGGTTTTTGATGAATATATTTCCCACTCCAGACTTTCTTAAGCGGTCATCTGGCTGAGACCACATAAGGCGGAATGGCTTTCCATTAATCAAATCAAAATTCATGGTGTTCAAGGCCCACTCTGCATCCGCGGGAAAGCGGAAGTTAACATAGCCATAGCCCAGGGGGCTGCGGGTCACCGGATCACGGCAGATTCGGGTGAATCGCAGAGGGCCAGCAGGCCTGAACTTCTTATAGAGCATGTCCTCGGTGACATCTGGGTCCAAGTCACCCACGTACAGAGCGGCCTTGAGATACTTCTTTTTCTTGCCAGCAGGATTAGGCTCCCCGCTCCCCATCTCTCTGAGCACTGGGAGGAGGTTCTCTTTGAAGAGAAAAAAGGCTGCTTTCTCTAAGCTATGGGCCAAACAGCTGTTCAGGAACAGAAAAAGCCAAGGCAGGCAAAAGGAAGCTAAAAGCAGACTCAGAATCACTGTCGAGGCTGAGAAAATGAAGTTCAGAAACAGCTGGTCAGCAGGCTCAGAACAAACACATCAGACAAAAAGGCGCCCCAAATACGAATCTATTCTCCCTGCGGGGACTTAAAATTGTCACCCGTTCAGATTTAAAATCAGTTTCAAAAGCCAGTACCGGAAACGTAATTTTCCTGTCCCGGTGAAATTGTGAGAAGCCACCAAGCAGCTGGCTGGCTCCCCACAACTAGCATTGCAGGCAGAGGCCTCCCGACCCGTTTTCTGCATAAATACAGGCCTAAAGCTCCTCTTGGTTTAAAATGATATCAACAAGGGCAGGGACCGAGCGCGTATTCCTCCGCCGGCTGCCTGGCCAGTCTCGGGCTGGCTAGCCTTTCGCTAAGGCCTCTCCGCACTCAGCGTCTGCGAACGGGTACACTAGACACTTGGTGCGATAAGACCGGCAGGCAGGCTGCAGGCAGCGGATAGGACACAGAGACAGACAGACAGACACACGCGCGGGGGATCGAAGACCGCCCAGATACCCAAGATGCCCACTGGGTACGGACCGAGTGAGGCGCGGTGATTTCAGCAGCCTGAGGCTCGAGGCAGGTCCGGAGAGACTGACTGGCAAACGCGCAGTGAGTGGGTCAGCTCTGACGCGAGGCGGGTCTGGCCAGATGCGGGGCGGAGTCAGCGAAGAAGGGCAGATGCGCGGCGGGCGGTCCCAGCGCAGACCGATGGGCTGGGGTTTCTCTCCGCAGGACAGTCCAACGGAGGGACCAAGAGCCAGTAGCAGTGATAGGGAGGGGGGACGGGCGGGGCGCGAGAAACCCGGAACCGTGCTAAGTAACTTCCCGCTTCCTCTATGCCAAGATTAAAAAACAGAAAGAAAGAGAGAAAGGGAGAGAGAGAGAGAGAGAGAGAGAGAGAGAGAGAGAGAGAGAGAGAGAAGGAGAGAAAGAAAAATGTAAGATGGCTTTTAGATGTTTCTTATATTTTAAATGTTATTTATTAATTAAAATACTATATTTAAGCTGAACATCTAAAAATCACATAAGAAGATGATGACCTGGGCAAAAATAATAAGTTTTAAAAAACTAATTATCAATTTAATTTTAGCTTAGGGAAAAAGATAGGTTGCATACTTTCCTGAGTACATTGGAAAGTGAAAGTTTACAACTGCCCTGGCTTCCCAGTCCAGTGCTAAAGGATCACAGGGTCAAGTAGAACACAGGGTCATGTTGCCTTTGGCCTTTAGCCTTACTTTATTAATCTCCAACATAATGGTAATGTTTTCCCCAGGTGGTAGGCAAAGAGATCTTTTCTCTGATCCCATAATACTCAGGTTTTAATGATTGGAGAGCCATATAAGGGCTTTTGATGGTGTTTAGTGCCACAAAACGTTGAAACTGTTGAGCTGCCGCGAAAATTACATTTACAAAATCTCAGTTAAAGAGATAAAAGCCACAGAACCAATACAAAATATATAATTAATATTTATAGATGAAATAAACTTATTAAGATGTATGCACTTTACACAATTGTGAATTTCAGCTTGAGTTGTCAACTTGAAACCCTTGCAGGAAACAGTGCCATCAGAATGGACTCAACTCAGCGGTTTCTCAACAATATCTTTCTTCAGAGTATTTGAGAAACCCTTGTGGAGAGAAATTTTGACCGTGTTTTCAGAAATTCACTGATATCTAGCATACACAAACAACACTTCAAGGAGCTCCTTCCACAATTTCTACCGCTCCAGAAAAATCCAAACAAAACATCTATCACTACTCTTAGGCTGGAAAAGATCCTGGGAAAAAAAGAGTGCAAGAGAAGGACATTACCTTAGTGGGTGTTTTCCTAATAAGTCCTCAGAAAAAGAGGCTAAATTAACGTGTTGATTCACTTTATACATTTTACAGTGTCTATTAGACTGTAGAATTGAGACATTAAACTTCATTATTTACTCAGAAACTTAGTAATTTACTTTTTTTTTTTTTTTGCTTGCTTTCTAGTGTCTTTGGTTAACTAAGACATGGAGATTTTGAGAAAAGGCAAATATGAACAATGATATTGTAGACTAATAAATTGCTTTTTCACTGTGACCAGAGTGACCAACATGTGGAAACACTTGTGAACATCTGCTTAGTTCATTGCATTTTAAATCTATTTTTATAAACATATTTGCTTATATGCATAATTAACAATGGGTTAGAATTCTAGTCTATTTTTGACTTTTCTCATTTTTAAAATTGCCTTATTGAAAATAGTAAAATAACAACATAAATCCAATTCCCACAATCTCATCATTGATTCAAATCAATGTTTTCATCTGTTCCTGTAACCAACTAAATGTTGTCCATATTCAAATTTATTTGTACATATTTTCTCTAAGATTATAATTAGAATTGATTTGTTAAAATACACATTTTCAAAATAATCACATCTCTACACTTACCACTTCCATTCAACATAGTACTGGAAACCTTAGGCAGAGCAATTAGGCAAGAGAAGGAAATAAAAGCATCAAAATCAGAAAGGAAAAAAGTAAATTAATCTTTATTTGCAGATGGCATGATGTTATCTGTAGAAAACCCTAAAGTCTAATATTCTTAAAATCTCCATACTATCCAAATTGATCAATATAATCCCTATCAAAAACCCAATGACTTTTTTTTTTTCTTACAGAAATAGAAAAAAACAACCTAAAATTCATTTGGAGCCACAAAAAGAAGCAAACAAACAAAAACAACAACAACAACAACAACAACAACAAAAACACCCTGAATAACCAAAGCAATCTGAGAAAGAAGAAAAAAGCTGGAGACACCATTCTTCCTGATTTCAAAACATATTACAAAGCTACAGTAATTACAACGCTATAGCACTGTCATAAAAAACAGACATATAGGCCAATGAAGCAGAATATAGAGCCCAGAAATAAACTCACACATGTACAGTTAACTGGTCTTTGACAAAGGTGCCAAGAAAACACAATGAAGAAAGTATTGTCTCTTTCACAAATAGTGTTAAAAACTTGGATATATGTAAAATTGGATCCTTATCCTACACTGTACACAAAAATCAACTCAAAATACAGACTTTCAACCTAAGATCCGAAACTATACAATTTTAGAAGAAAACTGGGTAAGAGCTTCCTGACATTGGTGTTATCAATGACTTCTTGTATATGACACCAAAACACAAGCCAAAAAAATATATAGAAAAGTGAGACTACATCAAATTAAAAGGCTTCTGCACAGCAAAATAAACAATCAACAGTGTAAAAGCAACTTACAGAATGGGAGAAAATTTTTGTAAAACAAGTATTTGATAAGGGGTTATCATCCCCAAAATAAAAGGAACTTTTACAACTTAATAGCAAAAACAAAGAAAAAACTTGAATAGCCATCTCTCAAAAGAAGGAATATAAATGGCTAATGAGTAAATGAAAAGATGCTCAACATCATAATCATCATTGAAATGAAAATCAAACCCTTAATGAGATGTCACCTCACATCTGTTGATATAGCTATTATAAAAAATCAGAAAGTAACTAACGTTGGCCAGGATGTGGAAGAATTGGAATCCATCACTGTTGGAGGCAATGTAAAGTGGTGCAACTGCTGTGGTAAACAGTAAGGAGGTTCTTCAGAAAGTTAAAAGTAGAAATTTCGTATGAAACAGCAATCCTACTAGGATTACTAAATCCTTACAAGGTAACATGTAACCCTACTCCTGCAATCTGCCAACATTCATGCTCTCTACCCCTCCCCACACACAAGTAATTGAGTTAATATGTATCCAAGTTCTACTGGATAGTAGTCACATATATTTAGGTATATATCCAAAGTAATTGAAATCAGAATCTCAGAGATATTTGCACTCCCGTGTTAATTACAGTATTATTTACCGTAGCTAAGTCTTGAAAACGACATAAATGTCCACTGATGGTTGATTGCATAAAGAAAATGTGGTATAAATATACAATGGAATATTATTCAGCCTACAAAAAAAGAAATCCTGCAACGTGTGGAAACAGGGATGGACCTCAAGAATATTTTGTGAAGTGAAATAAGCCAATCACAGAAGGACAAATAGTGCATGGTTCCATGTCAATGACATATTTAGAATAGTTAGACTCATAGAAACAGAGTAGAGTGGTGGTTGGGAGTGACTGCTGGAGGGGAACTGGGGAATTCAGTGTATATAAAATTTTAGTTACACAAGATGAGTAAGTTCTAGAGATCTACTGTATAACATTGTGCCTATATTTAAAAATACTCTATTGTGCTCTTAAAAAGTTTGTTAGAAGGGTTGATCGCATGTTAAGTGTTCTTAGTACAGTTTTTTTTAAATAATTCAGCTATGAAGAAATATGGGTATTGAAAACGTATAATAAAAGTAATATAACAACTTTGAGTATATTTTGAGTTAGTATGGCATCTCCTCAGGGTGATTTTTTATTTTAAAATACTTAATTGACAAAGATTGCATATATTCAAGATGTGCAATGTGATGATTTGCTTTAAGTATACATTGTGTAATGATGACTAAAATCAGATGAGCACAGCTTAGGGTGCCCTTTTAATTAGATACTATTAGTTTAAAATAAATACTTAGAATAGTACATGTGAATTTATATAATTATTATGTATTCAGAATTCAGTGTCTTTAGAGTTTTATATATAATTAAGCTATTTTCTGTTATGATACATTGAAATAAGGTAGGCGAGTATTGCCTACTTAGCAGATAGTCTCAGACAAATGTCTGTTTCCTTGCTAGTGCTTGTTAACCGAACACATGTCTCATGTAGGGAAAATATATATTTAGCACATTCTCTGATTAAAAATCTTGATTTGTAGTCCTTTCACTTGACCTGGAAGAATAAATAAAAGAATAATAATTTTAAAAGATGTGAACATTATGCTTTATTTTAAATTGTAAAATTGTAAAATACATGTAACAAAAATTACCATCTTAACGATTTTTAAGTGTTTTAGCGGTTTTAGGAACATTCATATTGTTGTGCAACCATCACCACTGTCTATCTCCAGAACCCTTTTTATCTTGTTAAACTGAAACTCTATACCTATTAACCTGTGCTTTTAGATGACACTTAAAATACATTATACCGTTTCTCTATTGTTGGACATTAAAGCTGCTTTTAGTTATTTTAGTATTATAACAAACATTGCTATCATAAACATCCACATTACATAATTTTTTATATTATTCATTCTGTTTCTATTAAGTAGATTATCAGAAGTGGGAATTGCACAATTAAATGGTATGTATGTCATTAAATGTTGTTATATACTGTCAGACTTGTTTAAAATATGCTGTAGCAATTTATCTATTTTGCCAAAAACATGAAAAATTGGAGGAACTTGGAATTTCTAGCAAAATAGAAATTACCAAATTTCATTGAAAGGAAAAAAGAACAATAGTCTTAGAAAAAATTACAGAATGATTACACATGTGCTACTAATAAAACAAAGAACAACAGGTGATTTTGTAGTTGAGTACTGTTATATAACCTTTAAGAAAACATAAGGCATGGTGGCTCACTCTTACAATCCCAGCACTTTGGGAGGCCGAGGCAGGAAAATTGCTTGAGCCCAGAAGTTCAAGAGCAGCCTGTTCAACATGGAAAGACCCCAGCTAATTAAACAATCAGCTGGGTGTGGTGGCAGGCACCTGTGTTAGCAGCTACTCAGTGAGGTGAGAGGATCGCTTGAGCTCAGGAGGTGGAGGCTGCAGCAAGCCATGTTCATGTCACTAC